TTGATATTGATGTGGTTTAAAAATAATAATGTTATATATATATATATATATAATATTGATATTAATATTAACATTATTATTAATGTTAATATTATTATTATTATTATATTTAGTATTTATTTATTTATTATTATTTATTTATTTATAATTATTTATTATAATAATAATAATTATTATTATTGTTATTTTTTATTTATTATTATTATATATTAACATATTATTGTTAACAATTGTGAACGCATTTCATTCAATAAGCTAGATTATATTCCTACCTTTTTTGGATTTCTGAGAGAATTTCCTGTGGACACGTTACTTTGATTGGACTCTTGTAAACGATTACTGTGTATTCTTTTAATAAGTGTTACAACTGTAATGACGCAAGATACTGCAACGATGACTGCCGGAATTATAAATTGTGTTGTAGGTTGCCACATGTCAAACTCGTCATTTACATCTTTCCACACAAGCGATTTTATCTACAGAAATATAACATATATTTGTTATTGGTTAACAACTAAAGCAATTTTATAGACAAAATGCACACTAGGCCTATGTGGAATGACCAACATAGGTGCATGGTATTTACTATTTAGCGACATGTTAACGGTATTTTTTACGGAGGGAAGAAGAGCACTTTTAGTGCACGCCAACCAAAACTCTTGCGCCCATCCCAACAGGATCCGCCACTAGAAAAATTTGGCAAGTAACGTCTCTCACTTTAATCATCGAGCTTACTACTTATTGCCCAAAAACCAATATATAACTCCTATATATACACCACTAAACACGTTCAAATCGAATGATGTAGGCCTACATAAAACCTATTCTACACAACAATGAAAGATTAACATGTTGAAAGTGTATGGATCATTATTGTCATGCGTGCAGGCCTATTTTTGTTACTCGGCACTAAATTGGGAATTTACTCAACTTATTAACTACTATTTATAAAAACAATGGCAATTAATCAACAGGCTACTTACAAAATAAAGAACATGAATTGAACACAAGATTGAAATCACCCAGATACCGGCTGTAACTAATAGTTTTCTTTTGAAAGTGATGACAGTGCGAACTCTGAGTGGGTATTTCAAAACGAAACATCTTAAAATAGAAAAACAATAATCAAACTTGAATAGCAGTCTCATAATGTCGAAGGATAATAAACTTATAGACCTGTATAAAGTACAGGCAAAGATACAAATACAAAGCTGGCACCTAGGCCTATATACATTTTATACCAACAGAAAGAGATCGTGGTCCATTATTAGGCGAGCAGACTAAGACCAAATGGACAACTACAGAAATTATCGAATTGGAAATCGCAGCGGGCCTACTACCAGCTATTTTTTATTTTCTGAAAATGTAGGTCCTTGAATACTTTACAACTACCAAAATTCCCTTTGGGTGGGCTACCTCAAAATGACGCATTTAAAATGGCCGATAAACTTGAAATTATGGTTTTGGCTAAAAGTAAGATTAAAGTAACATTACTCAAACAATTATTTCAATTATACCTGAAATGTATTTCTAATATTCTTTGACGATAAAAAATGATTATTGATTTTAAAAGAAATGACATTTTTAATTACTATAAACCTTTGCTTTGCATATTAAATATCTTTTTGTGTGTACAAATCTATATGGAATATAATGATATGATAGAAATTATAGTTTTTTTTTTTGTATAAATTTTTAAAATAATTATTTAAAAGTAAATTGTAGTTGATTTTAGAACCCCTCCGTTGGGAGAGACTCCTATTCAAGGGACAGTGTTTGGCGTCAAGTCAAAGGAATAGGCCTATATGTATGTTAATACTGCTACCAATCTATATTCAGGGGACAATTTTGTTAGTTATATGTGAACGCTTAAGGAGTTCACTGTGTTTAAGAACGAAACTGTAGATGTAGAACTTCCCCTATTCAATACATAAAGACAAGCAATGATTTCCAATTACCAAGGTTGCTGTATATTGAATACAAAACACTTCCTTTTGTCACCAATATTACGGCGTACCAAAACCTACAGTCAATGTTCTTTTACTTATGCTCCTGCCTTTTGTTTTTTTGGAACTAGCTTCCAAATTACATTACTTCTTCCAACTCTATCTGCAACTTTACGTTGCAGCTTAAGACCTATTTGTATTTTCCGGTGGCTTTCACATGCGTTGCACCTTTGATCTTCTTTGGAACTGGCGCCATATAAATTCGAGATATTTTTATTAATATTATTATTAATGACATATTTTTCAATACAAATTTAGTGTAAGTTATTAATGATAATAATTACAATAGAAATAATAACAACTATTATTATTATTACTATTATTATTATTATTATTAACATAAAATTAGTCAAAATTAATATTATTATTATTATTATCTTATCTAGTTACTATAATATAACAATAATAATAACAATAATAATATTATTATTATTATTATTATTATCGTAACTATTATAATATTGATTGTAAAGATTATTATGGTTATGATTTTAATGATTCTAATAATTATAATGCTTATAATAATTATAATAAGAATAAGACAACAAAATTGTTAATGATCTACTAACCTACAGTAGTGGCAGCAATACATAGAACCATTAGTCCAACAAAGTAGTTTGCTTAATAATAATAATAATAATAATAATAATAATAAAAATAATAATAATAATTATAATAATAATAATTATTATTATTATTATTGACATTATTATTATTATTATTATTATTATTATTATTATTATTATTATTATTATTATTATTATTATTACTACTATTACTATTATTATTATTATTATTATTATCACCATCATTATTATCATTACCAAAATATACTGCATTACCACTAGATAGTTTATAGCTGATCTATACTTACTTACGGTTAACCTGTTTTTTCTTTTATATACTTCACGAAATATTCAACTTTATTTTAATTTCCTCTTTCCACTTAAAATTGACAAAGAATTACCTTATGACGTTTCAGTGTGTATCTATTCCCCCACACCCCCACACACACACCCCACCAACACACACACAAACACACATAATGGATCTACTGTTTCGTGTCAGAGACCAATGTGTAATATTTGTAAACATGTATACTCAACCAACAAACTTTAAGGACCGTCTTGATATGTTAAAATATATGATCATTTCACAAGTACTTCCACGAATCTTATTTATGCAATAATTTTCCAGAAATGCATTACATTGGAGAAACCAAAAGGCGACTGGCTGATAGAATAACAGAACATTTAAGATCAATTAGACTAGTACTACCTGGATGCCCAGTTGCATTCCATTTTAAGACACGACATAATGTTGATAATGATTTTGTAGTTACTGGAGTCAAAATTTGTAACACTACTGATACATCTAGGAAATTTGTAGAAGAAGAAGAAGAATTATTAAAACTGGGACTATGGCACCTACGGGTATAATTAATGTATTATTTAATTCATTTAGATTATAATTCAGCGGGTATATCATTGTACATGTATGTCTATATTCATGGATTATTATGACATATATTCATAGGCCTATCTTATATAATTTGGTTTACAAGCTGGTATCTTTAGATTGGTTCATCATACCTTGTACACCATGGTGGGTATTGTTTTTACACTCCGGGATTGGGCATTGCTATTGTTGTAATTTTGGCCATTGTATTGTTAAAATTTTGCTTTTGTTTCTATGAGTACCAGCCCATCATTGACCAAGCATGTCTTTATGTTCATGCGTTCTGTTTAAATAATATTTCTCATTGGTCAGTTTATCATAAGCTTTCCTTATCCCAATATAGTGGAACATCAGTTCGAAATGCATTGTAAGTTCACGGAGAGCAATTTTACCCCGACGCTATTACATCAATACAGTAGTAAAGATGTTGGTTCGTTTGTTTTCTGTAGTTTCTCCACTCAGTCAAATTTTACCCCGCTCGCGGAAGGGCGGATGTTCCATTAATTTTAATGCAAATACGCGGAACAGCTC